ACACACACACACACACACACACACACACACACACACACACACACACACACACACACCCACCCCACCCCCCCCATTTGTCCATATCTCGTAGATGGTCCTGGACTTAGGTGTTCCATGCGAAGTTATGGCTACTTTTGTATTCTTTGTTTCACCTTATGCTTCCTTATAAGTCTGCCGCAACTAAAATCTCTATTCAGAGAGATTATTGAGACTGGCAAAGGCATTGCATGCGTGATGGCATGCATAGATTACTCGCGCGAAGGATAGAAATGTTTAGGAGTAAAGTTAAGGGTTTACTGCATTCAGCAATGTCAGCTTCTGTTTAAGAATCAGTTGTCTTAAGGAGCATTTGTCATCAGAACTAGTTTATAGAAAGTTTTAGTGTTTAGGCTGTCTGTGAATTATACATACATATTGTGTGCCTAAATCTAGACTCTTTTGACAGAGCCAGTGCATTAATATATTAACATTTTAAATTAACTGAACATTTCAATGAATTTTTTGCCTCACTAATCAACTCTATGTAAAAGCCCGAGGCAGTTGAAACACATTTTTGTAGTTTTGATTTTTGTTTCATAGTTCACAGTTCAGAGCATTCAAACCTGTCTTTTAATGGGAACAGTAGCCCAGAGGATGTATCGTGTTATCGTTGCACCAACTGTGATCCAGCACCTTATCCTTTCAATCTGTAGTTCAGGGGATACAAACGGTGCCTGAGTGACTTCTCATATGTCCTTGCAAAGCACTTTAATGCAGTTTTATTACTCGTAAATTAATTGGTAGGAATACAGTAATATGTCTTCTGTTTTTCAACTTACCTGACTCTGGCTTAGTCCATAACTTCCCTTTGAGTCATAGTCTGCTTTTTTTTATATGTGGAACTTTGCAAGCAAGCGGTATTACTTCCTTTTGTAAAAATTGTTAATATGTTGGCTAAATGACCTAGTTATTTAAGCCTTATTTCTTTATCCCTAATACTTTTAACTAACTGCTCTATATTCTATACAAGTAAATCATTAGAACCTTTAATGACAAGACTGTATTCAAATGTGGTACTGATATTGATTGACAAAGGCAATCAAACATCATAAACTCTGTTCACACTAAAATATGAAATTCACTGGTTTCAGTGTTTTTAGCTTTTGAGTAATGTTCTATAAATGATGCTATAAGGCAGCAGACAACTTCAGGAGTTAGACGATTCCAATAACACTTACTGTGTATGGCTCTGGTTCTTTATTGCAAGCTGTAGTTTCAAGAATGCGAAATGCATTGCATGCCATAAGCCTTTTGGATTGCTCATTAGTGAATTGTAATTTCACACTTCATTTAAAATATTCTTAAACATTCTCTCACAGTAAAAAGGTTTCACACAGTAATTAAAAGGCCCAGTTAACAAAGTCTGAGAAGTCTGATTTCCTCATGGGGGATGATTTTGCTAAATTGTAGCATTTCAATTAATATACAAGAATTTGCCAAATATAAATTTTGTGTTGCTGTGACCCAAAATATTACTGCCGGGTAAAAACTGAAATAGTGTTTACTCTTAGGAATTGCATAAACATTTTAACTTGTTTTCCTTTGATGCAGATTGAAGATGAGCTTTTTAATCCAGATTATGTGGAGGTTGACCGGATAATGGACTTTGCACGTAGCACAGATGACCGGGGAGAGGTAACAGAAGATCATTTGTATTCAGGGGCGGAGACTCAGACAGCTTATGTGTGTTTACAGAGAATGATCGTGGAAACCCTAGATCTGGCCCTGGTCAGAGCCTTGGATCATGGCACACTTGTTCTAAATTTAACTGAAATTAATTGACTTAATGTTGGTGTTATGACTTAATAATAGTGCTAAATGTGTTTATGTTTAGTCTGCGAGCTTTTTAAAAAATCAATTTTCAATAAGAAACAAATACATTGACATTTTGCACAATTCCAGAATATGATCAATAAAAAGAATTCAATACATTTTGTTATACATCTGTTATGTAGTGCAAGTTTTCCTTATGTAATTACAAGTGCTGTTGTAAAAGAATGGAGTTTAATGTTATTTAACATTGGACATCCTTAATGAAGTTGATGAACTGCATTTAATGTGGTGCATAGAGGATATTATAAAGTGAAGACTGTATTTGTAACATGATTTTTGACTTTTTAATTTTTGTTTAGTTTTACTTTAAAAAAATCTGTTTCATAGCATATTTACATAGTACAGCCAATGGTTTTTAACATCACAATCAGGTCAGTGTACCTTGGTCCTGAAATGAAGGTCAACAGAACCAAGTATTTTCTAAAAGAAAAGACAAAGGAAATTCTGTTGATCTGTACTACACAAAATATTTTGCTCCCCAATCTTCTAGAGCTCAAACACTTTTTTTTTTTTTTTTTAAGGTTTTAAATTACAATTTAGAGAGGAAGGCAGGGAGAGATAGAGAGAGAAATTAAAACATACATCAGTGTGAGAGCAAAACATCAGTGAGCTGCCTCCTGCACGCCCCGGCCGGGCATCGGCCGGGGATCAAGCCAACAACCTTTTGGTGCACAGCAGGATGCCAACCAACTGAGCCACACCAGCCAGGACTCAAACACATTATTTTAAAGTGATTGGATACAAACAGTACTTTTCTCTTTAAGAAAAAGGCAGAGATCCTTATAAATTCAAGCCAGTTTCTTCTTCTTTAAGAAGCTAACCAATTATGTGTGTGTCTATATATATATATAGACACTAAGATAATTTACCATATACATCTGTGATTTGCACAGGCTCAAATGCAGCTGTTATTTACTAGACATTTCTTTATACTTCTTGGCTTTTGAACATTACTTACCAGTGACTTAGATAAAAATTAATTTGTTCTGATACTACTACTCAATAAGACAATTTCCGGTTTAGACTTGAGACTCTATAACTAAAGAGTACTTTTAACACTTCTGCCCACTCAGTCTTACTGTTTCTTGGGTGGTGTCTATTGATAAATGAAGTGGAGCACGTTTTTTCTTTTATGCATATAGTTTTTGGTCAAATGAATCCAATTCTGATTTCCCTAACCCTGCCCCAGCCCGTGACTCACTACCTGGTGAAGTGGTGCTCCCTGCCTTACGAAGACAGCACTTGGGAGCTAAGGCAGGACATCGACCAAGCAAAGATCGAAGAGTTTGAGAAACTAATGTCCAGGGAGCCGGAAACGGAGCGCGTGGTGAGGATTGGCTAAGGGGTAGGGGATTTCATTTGAAAACGGCACTGTGGTGTGGTCTTTGAGAAACCGCTAATGGGATTTACTTTATTTGAAACAGGAGCGACCTCCTGCTGAGGATTGGAAGAAATCGGAGAGTTCCAGGGAGTATAAAAACAATAACAAACTCAGGGAATACCAGTTGGAGGGAGTAAACTGGCTACTTTTCAATTGGTACAACATGTATGTAAAACAAGTTTCCTTCACTTTTCAAAAGGCCTATGGTTTTTTCCTTTGTAGTTATTGAAAATAGTATTCAAATATAACTTAACATTTTAACTCTCTAAGAAGATTATAAAAAAACAGCAAATGTTGGAATTATGCTTATTACTTATTCAACAGATAATACAGAGATTGATAAAAGTATGTAAAAATGTATGTTATTTCTTGGAATATTTTGTTTGAAAATGTGTTATTTTACTGAATCTAAGAAAAACATCTAAGATAGGCATTCGTGAGTATAGTAATGCATGTTTTGTAAAAAGAAAGCAGTAACTAACATCTGTACTCATTAAACTTCCCTTGTTCTATTTCTGTCCCAAAGGCGAAACTGCATTTTAGCAGATGAAATGGGTTTGGGAAAAACTATCCAGTCCATTACGTTTCTCTATGAGATATATTTGAAAGGAATCCATGGCCCTTTTTTAGTAATTGCTCCATTGTCCACAATCCCCAACTGGGAAAGGGAATTCCGGACCTGGACAGAGTTGAACGTGGTTGTGTATCATGGGAGTCAAGCTAGTCGTCGGACCATTCAGTTGTATGAAATGTACTTCAAAGATCCCCAGGTAAGACCTCACGGGTGGTTTTCCCTGTGCTCAGTATGTGCATTTTAAGGTGTTGGGATTTTAAAATGGTCTCAGCGATTTGGGGGAAAGGTCTAGATTTTGCAAAACTGAGAAATTTGCTTTAGGTGTCTTACCTAACTTATGACTTATTATATGTCTACGTGTTATGATTACAGCTTTTTATTTTTATAGTTTTGGTCATTCTGATTATTAGATTAAAAACAAATTTTTTACCTTGAATGATCACTGAAAATCATTTAATTGTCGATTTGCTTATTGGCTTTCTTTTGCAATTCTGAGAGAAAGCTAAACAAAAAAAATGGTGGTATTAAATGTGACTAGAAAGAATATTTTGTTATATTAGTGCTAGAAATGAAAAATGCTAGGCATGTAATATTGAGTGACACATTGAGTGAAATACATCCAAAGGGAAGAGTTTATACTTTGGCTCTTAGTAGCAATTACTGTGAATTCTTACTTATTCTAGTTACCTGTATGCAATTATTCTTTGATATTAAAATTATAAATGACCTGATGAAGAAGAGAGACTAGTACGTGCTAAATTAGTTTTAAGCTATAGGTAGTACATGGAAGTTCTATAACTGGAAATAGGACAGAGTTTTGTTTGCTTTAAGTGTAAACATCTGTCCTGTGACTAATTAAAGGAGGAAAATATTGAAATCTGAGTTTTGTATTTATCTTTAAGTTTGGGAAATTATTATTATAAGTACTATCCTAAGTGAATGTTTTTTATTTTACCACTTTAAAAATAAAAAATATATCGCAAAAGTGAGAAAAGGTAAAAAGTTTTAAAAAGGAAAGATTTTTAAAGCCTTGTTATACCATAACAGCTTAAAACCTCCAAAATGTGTCACCTAAAATAAAGATGTCCCCAGAGAGATAAATCCATATGTCTTACACTCTTGTTCATCCTCGAAGTTGTTAGTAATCTGTAGTGCTAAGTTAATAATTCAGAGTTGTTCTTGTAGGGTCGAGTGATAAAGGGGTCCTATAAGTTTCATGCCATCATCACTACCTTTGAGATGATTTTGACGGATTGCCCCGAGCTGCGGAATATTCCATGGCGCTGTGTAGTCATTGATGAAGCCCACCGGCTGAAGAACAGGAACTGCAAGCTGTTGGAGGGACTGAAGATGATGGACTTGGTCAGTGATCATTTGGTGATTCCATTGAACCCAAGTAGAATTGTTACTGGCTCAACATTCCTGCCACTCTGAATTTGATGCCTGTGAAGGGTGTTTGCAAAGTCTGTCAAATATTGTGATACATCTTCCTAAGCTTTTAGTTACTCAAAAGTGGCTGCTGTCTGCCCGATTCTTCCGTCGTTAACTGGTATTTCTGCACGGTTGTGTCACAGCGGAATATAGTCATGATATTTTCACTAAAATGAGTTTCAAGTATTTGCTTTCCCTTGTTTGTAAATATTGCCCTTATGATCCAGTTATGTTCCAGGGCTCAGCGGGGGCCAGTACATGCAAATTCTCATATGTTGGGCCAAAATCTGGAATTAGTCCACTTTGCACAGACACGTAGAAGTTTGGGGCATTACAAGACCTTGAAATTGATGTGGAGTTTTAGACCACACTTATTTCATACTCTTCAGCTTCCGAAGCGATGGCCAGTTCTTCCTAATTACATTTTTCTAGGTTTTCTTGAGTTGGAGTATCATGGCATAATATTCTGTAGAAGTGGTAGAATTTGATTGATTTTTTAGTTCCATACTGCTGTGCATATGATTTCCTAGTGGAAGGTGCTACATGCCCGCAGTCGTCATCAGGCTTCTTTTCACTCTGTAGTTTACAGGTGGGTTTTGATAATTTTTTTTCATTTTTAATGTACATTTTAAAAGGAAATGTTTTGATCAGTTTCAGAAAAGTACAAAAAGATTTTTTAAATCCCTTTAATGTTGGCTTTTGTAGATTAATTTGATCTCTTGTTAATTGAGAGTTTGAAATGGGAAGGAATATTCTGTATGTTTACAGCTACAGATTTTTTTTACTAAAGACCGGTACTACTGAAAAGAACACTTTAAAGCTTTCTGTTGCAGCAGGTTCTTAGAAGCAGCTTCTTTTATTCTTAAATTAAGGGGATTGGATTATCCAGCTATCCTTTTAATTAAAAACAAACAAAATCTAATATTGTTTAAAGGAAAAAGTTTGAGTTATCCTACTTAGGAAAACTATTTTTCCTTAATAAATTATTTAAAACTACCCTAAAACTTTCTCAAAGTGCTCTATATTATTTGGTTGCTAATCCACAAAACAAATTAGACTGCATTAGACATGGTGAATGCTCTTGAAGACGTGGGTAAACATGGCAAAGAGAAATACAGTGGCTATATTTGGTCTCTTCAGGTGATACTTCAGCATTACATTGAGGTAAACCTGTATTTACAGGTAACCACTAATGTTCATGAAATACCTGATTATATCTTCTTAGAAGGACCCCATCCTCACAGTGGTCCACATAAGAGACCATTATAGCATCATTTCCTGAAGGCTAAATTGTCACCCAAATGAGTTTATTTTCTATTATTATTTCACGTTCCCAGATAGTAGAATCTTGCTGCAAAACAGTCTTGCATTGGTTGAACTCTGTCAGCATCAAACAATCTAATTGTCATTGGGAGACTTCAAAGGTTTTTCCATTGTTTATGGTAATACTTCATTAATGGATTCGAATCTGTTACCCAGATAATTTTCCTATTACACACTGCAGTGTTCCCTTACCCTTTTCACATAACCTCACATTTGGAAAATGATGTATGTCACACCGGGGTAAGCCAAGAAGGCTGCCCACCACCACAGGTGACCAGTCCTGGGACCCTGACTTTTCATAGCCCCTCCGGCTGCCCCAGGGACATTCATGACACACCAACCAGGAAGCTCTGATTAACAAATAAACAAAATGTTTGTCTTTCGGATAATTAAGAACCTTTTATCTCAGAAAAGACCTTTTTAAGGTGGAGCACATAATAGTTCAGAATTAGAGCATCATTGTATTTGTCCAGTTCTGAACAGATCGTTGCCTGGTTTTTAAATCCTCACTTTAAAATAAACATCATGAGAACGTACAAAAGTGAACCTTTTTCTTCTTCTTTCCTAGAATAAGTCATGGTGAAAATAGCTAATAATAACTATAGCCTACTACGTATGGATCAGGTCATAGGGAGCTGCTGTTACTCGCACTAGACTCAGTCAGCATGAAAGTGCACTTAATGAGAATTATCTTCAAGGGCATTCTCAGAGAGGAAAGACCAGTAGGCGTCTCCAGCTCTCCCACCACAAAGGAAATGCTTGTGAGGTGATATGTCGAGGGACATTTAAGGTCATCGGTGTCCTCCACAGGACCCCTGGAAAGCAAAGCTGCCCCCTCATCCCTCACTGAGTAGGAGGGAATTCTCTGGAGGTGGTAGTCGTTCCTCATGGATTCCATTACATCTTTCATTGTTAGGGAGCCTCACACAAATTAAAAGAGTGCTGAAATGAGAGTAAATGGACATCAGTCCATCAGAGCTAGTGGTGACATTTTCAAGCCAACAGCGTATCTGCTGGCGTAGTGGAGCTTGGAGGTGGTAGGTAAGCTTGGTTTCCCCGAATCTCTCACATGACTTTTGGGATACGCTGTGTGTTCATCTTATGTTAGCTCATCGGGTCTCTGCTTTCAGGTGGAAGCCTGGTTCTATTCCTTCCACTACCCCTAGGCAGCCTTATAAAAGGGTTGCATGTGCAAATAATCATTTGGTGTAACTGGCTTTAAATAGCCCTTGATGGGGAAGCAGCATGAAAAAAGCGTTTCTTTCCTTTTTTCAAATAAGTTCATTTTGAGATTAATTTGTTAAAAGGCTTTTTCTGAAGTATTTGGTGAGAGCTTTGGGATTTAGCTCGGTAATAAAGGATATGAAAAAACTGGGGGACCATTTGGTATCAGTACAGCTCTCCCACTGCAGTGACTCTTTTCCTGAAATTGTGACAGTATTTTTTAAAAATCTTGGATAAAGTAATTCAGGACTTGAATACGTCAGGGATTATGGCCCATGTTCCCCACCAGTATGGTTATACTTCAGAAAATCGCAAACCGACTCGCAGACTCCTTCCTCTTTGTGAATGTAATGAGTCTGAAGATGATGGTGGTGGTCTGCATATCTTCTGAACCAGAGACGGCTTTGTTCAAGAGGGACAAGTAGAAGAATAAAAGCGAATTGAACTGCTTCCCCTCACTTTCAAAGATAAGACATGGTAGATACTAAGGACAATAAATAGCATGTCCTTAGCTAGTATTTACTGAGCATATGCTTTCTGCGTGGCAGCCAAGCCTTGTCAGATTCCCAGTTAAATCAGAATATTGCTTTTGAACCCACTAGAAGGTGTAATCACTGTTTGAAATAGTTTTCATAGCTGTGCTGTGTATCAAAGTAGAAAATATAAAGCCCTCGGGGCAAATAAACTCCCTGTTACTAAGACTGGTCACTACCAAACAGCTCTCCATGTTGGATGTACAGACATAAGACAAGGGCACAAACGCGCCAGGAGAGCTGAGAAAGCTCCTGAACAGGAAGGATTGTTTTAGAGAAATACCTAACTTTGTCCAAAGAGACAAAGTTAGAAATAGCATCTGTTTTAAATATATATATATTCAAAAAAGTAGTATTTAAAACGAGCTACCCCTTTGCTAGTTTGAAATTTCTGCAGAACAAAATGGTTTTTCCCATGCTGTTGCTTGTAGAAGAACTCCTTTTGTCTCCAGCGTGAGTCATGCAGGAAGCAGATGGGGAGACGAGAGCGCTGTTGATGTAGAGGACAGAAAGGATGGAGGAAGCTTCATCTGAGTCTAGGGATTTTAGGAAAAAAACGTCAGCTTTGGTGCAGAAAAAGGAGACACTTCGGGGACTTGCGAAGCCATGGCACTACACCGTTGACTGGCTAACCCCAGGAAGAGACGAGAAGGCAAGACAGGGTCACCGCCAGGCCCGCGGAGTTCTAGGCAGCCCCTCCGAGAGCGCACCTGAAGCAGGGACCGTTTTTCTCTCCTGTGGGAATTAGGCAGGAAGGCAGAGCTACGGGACGTAGGGCGGATGCTGAATTAACTTTCATGAGAAGTAGGAACGTGGGTATGTAGACAGAGGCTTTGGTTTTAAGAAGCTGTTGGTTATGATTTGGTCACTGGCTCCTCTTGTCCTGCTGCAGGAACACAAAGTGCTGCTGACGGGGACCCCGCTGCAGAACACTGTGGAGGAGCTCTTCAGCCTGCTTCACTTCTTGGAACCTAGTCGCTTCCCTTCGGAGACCACCTTTATGCAAGAATTTGGTGATCTGAAAACAGAAGAACAGGTATGTATCACGCCTACTTTGTATTTTAGTCAAATAACTGAAGATTAACCCATGAAATGGCAAAGGATTAATATTAAACTACTTAAAAATGTAAATTATGT